TCAGCCAGGGTCAACCCACCACACTGTTCCAGAATCTTACACTGGCAACATGAGTTAGAAAACTGGTTTCTCCAAACAACATCAACAGCTTCATCCACACAGTACAGAAAACGTGAAAAGCCAGAAAACATTATCGGCTCAAACAAAACCAGGGGTCTCATTTGAGCTAAGCCTGTCAGGAAATGCCAAGTTCCAGCCCAAACCCTGTGTCACAACCACAACTCAGAAGAAGGGGCTCTTTTCAGAGCAGAAACAAAACTCCTGTAAGTATCACGGCACCATGTGCGAGGCAGGCAGAGAGCGTTTCCTTTCCCCAGAGCGCTCAAAGCACCTCTGCCAAGGTCACCTATGCCTTAAGCCATCCTCTGGGTATCGCTATCAGCCACGTCGACAGACAAAGTGAGTAGAAGTTTGTGACAGGAGGAGAAACCTTCCACCCGATCTCTGAGGTGCAACGTCATCACAGAGTGCCCAGTATCTCTCTGAATCACACCGCTCTGAACGAGCCAAAAAGCTCTCGTAGCTGGGAGAAAGCTAGTGCAGAGACAACCACCTCTAAAGGAGAAACTGCTGTTAGCTGTGGCATCCACCTCGGCAGGAAAATCTGTTCCTCCCCTCGTGAGCCCGCTGCGCTACAGCTTCACTAAGACATTATCTTTAGCTCATCCTTGATCTCCACTAAGCTAAGAGAGCCTGCAAAAAGAGGCACCAGTTTGGAGTCTTCACGTGACAGAATTTTGGAGTGCAACAGCTTCCCTTCTCTAAAAGGAAAAAAAAAGTTCAACAGGCTCCTTGGGATTTCTGTTTGACTTTCAGGTCCCAAAACATCAAAATGCAATACAGAATCCAGAATTCTTAAATACCTGGCATGAAAACTGCAAAACTGCTTACCACAGGAGCACTTGCTCCTCAGTGAGACAGTGCTTTCAAATCCAGCTTAACAGGCTCTTCTTCCTCTAGTTAGCTTTAAGCTTTTATTATAGGGATTCCTTGATGCTTACATTGCAGAGCATGTTAATAAAGTACCTTGTACCTTGGCTAACACTTAACTATTGCTTGCACAGCATATAAAGCTGTAAAGAACAAAAGATGGTGATGCATTAAGTACTCCTGCAGAAGATCTTCTGGAGTACATGTCATCTCACAAACACGTCACAGCCCTCACAAGCTGCCCTGCAGCTCCCCCTCTCCGAGCGTGGGGTGCCCTTCCCAATAGCCAAATGCTTATTCTCTTTCTGGAGCGTTGGCTGAAAATTCTCTGGGGCTGAAGTGTAACAGCAGCCTCGAGCATAACTTATGGTGAGCTTCTAATAACTGAGCACAGATGACAGACAGCTTTTGCTGGTGAAAGCTCAGCCCTTACCTATCACATACTTACACATACACTCATTTTACCCAAGAAAAAACAGGGAATAAAAGGCAAGTAGGATTCTTTCATCCCCTCCACTGCCAGACATTTATTTATCCTTCTCCATCCAGGAGCCCCTGAGGCAGGGACAGGAAACAGAGGGGAAACTACTAATGTAAAAAACCTTTGCCAACTCATTTTGAATAACTGCCAGTCCACACTACTCTGACTCATCTTTTAGATAACGACTAACTACCAAAAGCAGCAGGTAAAGCCCACAGAGATGGGTAAGTTGATTTCTTGTGCCTGTTTTCCTCTTCAGTACATCTGCCTGCGTGGCCCTGCATTAGCACCATTAGGAAACCAGACTTCAACATGATAGGTCTGTCGGGACTGCATTTATCAACAGCTTTTTGGTTCCGCCGGGAAGGCAGGATAGACTGGGACAAAGGTCACTCTGGGCATTTTCATCTCTGCTACAGGCACAGAACTATCCCAAAGATTTAGGTGCTTGCTCAGCGCTTCTGCCTTCACCTGTCCCCTCTCATACTTTGCAGGAAGCAATGCTGACTGCAGGCTACTTACTGTTAACACAGACCTAAGAAGCAACCATCCCAAGGGCAAGGTTTCAAAGAGCACAAAGCAAGTGTGTTTTTCACCTGCTCAGGAGGAGAGACTCGATCAACCGCTGTCACTTATGCTGAGAACAAAAAGCATACTGCTTCCAAGCTCTCACCTGACTTGTGCAAATTGATGGACCGCAGGTTGGGGAACAGCCTTGCTAGGGAATCTTCTGACTCTTCGATGGTCGTGAGGTTGTTGTTAGCCAGAATAAGCGTGTCCAGTGATGGAAACATAATTCCTAATTTTCGAATTTCAGTCCAGTCTTGAAGATTATTGTCAGTTATGTGGAGTAATTTGAGAGACTGACAGCAAACTGGAGAACAAGACACCGTTTCATAGTCGTTAAGGCACAGGAAAAGCTCCTCCAAGCTGCACAGGGGAAGAAAGATCATATCATCATCTCGACATACCTTGAGAAATAACTACCCTCCCGGGTACAGGGACATGCATATGCAATTTTAACGTGACTTTCTGTAACAGCTCTTATGTGATTTGAAACCTTGGTGTAGAGAAGACCTTTGAGCACTCCAAATGGAGTGTTTCAACTACATCTCTGCTCCCATCCGTAAACTTCCTCCACAGATGAAAACCGCCTCTAAGTGTTCCCTCTAGCCTCCCAGTATTAATTGCGTAACAGATTGCTCGGGGTGGTGTTCCACATTTGTGCCCAACAAGCCACCAACCCAGCGGTGATTGGTACCTGCTCTCAGTGTGCACCACTTATTTAGAAAGCTGTTTTTATACAACACAGATGACGCTTTTTCCCCCACATCGCTGGCTCTGCCAAAAATTCCCATTAAAGAAAGAACCAAGTTTTCAGACAACTAAACTAGCTCTCCTAATCCCAGGGAAGCATACATTGGCCATGCACGATATACTGCTGTCATCATCTCCGCTTACAAAGCCGTACAAAGAGGAATCTGTTACCAAAATGAAGCCAGTTGAGGACATTTGTGGAAGCAGAATGCCACTGCCAAGGTGGATCGTGGCCAAGCCACAGAAATCAACACTTTTGCACAGAAAAGCACGATGAAATATTACTTGACAAGTGGCCAGACCCCCAGATTTACATCCCATTCAAAAGCTATTAGTACAGGTATGCACTGCACCATTCATTCTGCAGTGACTCAGAGGAAAGCATGTCACCTCCTACAGCATCACGGTGATTATCCATCTCTGGTATTTAGATTTGGACGCGCCGCCCCGGGCTTTGCAGCGCCACGAGAGTTCAGCTTTTAAGACAATGTAAAGCATTCACCTGGCCAGTTTTCGAGCTCTCAAACAAAAAAAATTCTCTTTTTCTCTACTGATCATGTTTGCATCCTCACACCCCTCTCATCCCTCACCACGTGATTTGATAAGCCAGCCTCGATCTGTGTGCAGCAAGCACCCCTTTCTAGACCCAACTCCCCATGCTTACTCTGGTAATTCCTGCAGGATTGTGTGGACTGTTTCCCAGGAAGCTTTGCTGTTGTTGAGCACAAGTTTGCGAACACCAGCGAAAGACCCAGCACACCTTCTCTCTAAAACGGACAAACTGAGAGGGTTGGAACTCAAGTTTAGAAACTCCAAGTGAGGAACGTTGGACACAATTTTACTGACCTAAGTGGGGAGGGAAAAAAAAAAAAAAAAAAGAGAAAGAAAGAAATGCATATCAGGCAGTAATCGGACCTCATGCAGTAATATCCCGTCTCCTAAAAGGGGACCCTTCGGAATCACCACAAGCCAAAGAAATGATATGGGGGAAAAAAAAATAAGGCTTCTGGATAACTATCTGTAATTCATACTCCAGCTATTCACTGATCTAGATTGATTAGTTAATTGCTCATTCACCTCAACAGTTCATTTAATTACATTCTCTGAGCAGCTTGATAAGACAAAGTCAGTCTCTTAGGAGAGGTCCTAAAATCCACCTCAACACCAAGCTTAGGCAGCAGCACGTTACAGGAGCTAGGACGCCATACTCGTCTTTTAGCAGGGAGGCAATGGACGCATCTCTCGAGTTTATGGCCAACACTCTGATCACTTGCTCAGCTTTCTACTGCTCCCCACTAGCCACAGAACTCACCATTCCGCCCAACATAAAAGACAGATAGAAGCTCATTGTCCATAAACAATGAATTTCTTATTCAATTCCATTGCTCTGAAAACTTCAGCTTTCTTACAATCAATCCCAATGTTCAGGTAACACTGATTGGGGTAACTTTCTCTTTTCGTGCATATAGATGTGCACCTGAGGGACAAGTAGCAGAGAGGTAAGGAAGAAAGATCAAGAAAGAGAAAGAAAAGCCAGAGACAGTAACTGTACAGCTCTGGAGAGCAGGATACACAACAGATCGTGCGATGGGGGTACGTGCTGACCTCGATACTGCTAATACACAGAAAGATATGGGAACAGCTTATTTAGTTGATCAATTTGTAGTCATCTATTAATGATTAAGTGAACAGAACAGCCAGGCAGCATCAATTTGTAAAGAACACATCACATCAATCTAATTTTCCTCTTCAGCTAACTGATTCAGTGGGAAGTAGTATAAGGGAACAACAGCTTCTGACGCCATCCGCACACCAGTCACATAGGCAAACCGGGGATTTACAGTGTCCGGGACAGCACCGTAAGTTAGGAGTTCAATACAAAGCTAGCAGACATACCCAAGGAGTGTTCTAGCAGATTACTACTCGTTATGTTTTCAATGACCAGAGTAATTGAACGACATGCGTTTTCTTAAACTGCGGGTGATACTAAGGTGGGAAAGGCTGCCATCACGTTGCGGTACAAGGCTAGAGGCTAAAGCACGGCCATCTGAAACCCATAAAATAGAAGTTCAGTTCAAGGATATTCTATGTACTAATGTTCAGGGGAAAATCTGGAAAATAATTACAAGTCAGAGAACACATGGCTAGAGAGCTCCACTTCACAAAGTGATTGGATGGGAGGATATGGGGCAGACCATGACACACACAGGTCAATAACAGGGCCCAGTTGCTAGCAAAGGGCAATTGTCTCATGTGGAATTCAAGTGTTGCATACGTGATGCTGGAGGTAATTAGTCTGCCTCACTTCGCACCTTGTCTTAGGTGATGTCATGTTTTGGGCACTATGCCTTAGGGATGAAGTAGACAAACTGGAATGACATCAGAGCAAAAAAAACAACACAGGATTTAGAAAAAATGGCCTACAATGAACAATTGGAAGAGCTGCATTTTTTCAGTATTATACTAAAACAGAAAAAGGAGACACAAAAGCTTCTTCATAGGTATAAAAGGCTGCCGTATAAGGCACAACAATGAACGTTCCTTCATGCCTGCTGAGAACAGGGCAGGGAGCAACTGGCTCAAATTGTAGCATGGGAGACCTAAGTGACATAGTTTGGCCTATGAGGTTATTAGCTAAGCGTGGGAACAGCCTACCCAGGGATCTGGAATCCCCATCATGGGCAGTTTTCAAACATCAGTTAAATATTCATCTGTTGTGGATGGGCTGTGAAAACTTAATCCTGTCTTGGAGGAAGAGGCCAAAATGCACAGAAAGCCTTCCATTTCCTGCTTTACTGCGGCTCGTGCAGGAGCCAGCAAATTGTGACATCCAGGGTAACCTAAACAGACTGAACAAATAGCAGGGTGCAAGGCACGCAGCTTGCGAGTGACGAGCGTGTGTGCGGCTCTCCTAGCTGCTTACCAGACCTGAGGTCAGCTCCACTGAGAGCAGAACAGGGAGCGGAGAGGCTGCACCTCATTACTGTGGGAGGGGGCCTTTTGGGGCCAGAATAAAAGAAGTCAGGAGACACCATCCCAGTTCTTAGCAGACATGCCCTTAATACGAAACCGTCTTCCCTTGCTCTAAACTCAACAGACAAGCCTAAGATCTCTCTCCCACCTGCTGAGCTAATACCTTCTAGGCTAACAAGGAAACAACAGGAACAGAGAAACCTATCCCACTTCTGCCTTTGCGACCCCTGTGCCAGAGCTGGGATATTTCTGCAAACACTGCGTTTACTACCTGTTTAAAGACACAGGAGTTCAATGCAACAGAAACACATGATAATTTTTATGTTGCGCATCCTGTTGTTTTCCACGTATTTCCAACAATAAACACTAACATAAAAGCAGAACATAAGCCAGCGAGAAACTGTTAACAACACTCGAACAAATTGCAATTGTTTTACTCGTATTACATTGCATTTACCTAGCATATTTCATCCAAGCACTTTAGAGGATTTTATAATAGCATTTTACATTAGTTAATGAGGCCTCAGAAATATCCTTTGAGGTAAATATTATTAAGCCTGTTTTGCAGATAGGGAAACAAAAGCGGAGAGAGAAAATGAATACCTTGGCCAGCACCACAGAATCGGTGGCAATGCCAGGAATCACCTCCCATTACTTGGACCTCCTCAGTTCTTACTCTATTAAAAACTGCACTGCTCGTTAACCTCTTGACGTTAGAAATGCCAGTTTCGGTGCTTTGCACCAGAAAAAGAAAGTATGTATTTGTCACCCACAGGCCAAGATCGTAAATCATGAGGTAAATGGTGTGAAGTGCCCAAATGGATTAAATTCATCGCGTTTATTGCTCAGTTGTTGTCAAAGTAAATAAGCATCAGCTTCAAAGATGAGAAAGAAGCCACAAAAAATGGAAATCTCTCTCCTTTAAATGAACACAGTACTCTTAGAACCTGCAATGCATTTGCAGTCATAGTAATAGCCATCAAAGTTATTCAGAAAGGTGCACGTGTAACTGTTTTACCTCATGCCAGTCTTCCAGTTTATTGTCAGAAAGATCTAGCTCAGACACATGAGCACAGAAGGCGGCGATTTCATTCTCATCCCCTGCACAGGTTATGCCACAGCTGTTCAGTACTAGTACGCTCGGAAGGTTGAGGCGATCTGAAGCAGGGAAAAAGAAAAGGTGCCCTCTGGTCAGCATTGCCTTGCTTAGTTACAGAAGGTAAAAACAAGCACAAACATGACATTCGGCAAAAGAAAAGATCTCCCAGTAATTCTACAATTTACACGTATTTAAGGATCTCAGGATAACATGGATTTTATGACAAGCAACTGACATCAATCAAGAATTCTTCTTGTGTCTAAACATGAAGTACCACTCAGTATCGGTGATCTTCAGTTACTACACGCATTTCTGTCCACACCGCAGTGGGGACGGGCCAGTCCTTTGTAGTTTATAGCAGGTCTCATATCAGTTCTTGCCAGAACTTACGCTCTACCCCAAGCATCTGCTACTGCAGATAGGATACGGGACTAGGTGGACTGTTAGTTGCGCAGAGTCACACTGCCTTACCCTATTGTACTTAACCCACTCGGGGTTAGTAACACCAAGGATGTACTTAAACACTTCAACAATGAAGAAAGTTTAACAGTCTCCCCTCCTGGAAGAACTTGGGTCTCTACTCTGCCTTTTATGTTTCTGCCTTGATTTTGCTCTAGTTCCTTCTCATGCAGGTAAATGTTCTCGCAGCTAGTTTACAGACAAGGACTTGGATCTCAATCACAGCCTGATTTACTAAGGCCAAAACATGACAAAGTTAAAAGCTGTGGATTTGTAACAGGAAACCATTTCAACACAAGAAATCCACACTTAGGCAAGGCAAGCCATCAGTCTTACCCGTTCATATACAATACAGCTCTCCCACCTCTGTGGAGTATCAAAATCTGTTAAAACTTAACAACAAGTTTTTCCTAAAAAGGTGGCCCTTTTTCTCTCTCCTTTTTACTTGACAGCTACATGACTAGAAAGGGATTCTAGCAGCAGACAATTATCTGGAGTGATCTGAGTTTTCAAGTTTCCTGGCTCATTAGCTTCTTTAAAGGATAGCGTTGTACTTTGGGAATTAGTCGTGACGTACTTGTAAGTCATGTCTCAGTCACATTTTAAGACTCACCGACCTCTTTTCAGCATCCAAACAGCTCAGGTAAGTGGGTGCTCGCACACAGGAGAGAGGGTATTGACTGAATATTCCATCAAGCAAATTTTCTGTTTATGTCAATTTTGAGTGACATGCCATCTGTTTTATCCTCAACTGAACTCGGGTCCTTTTTTTCTCCTCTGTCAAACTCAAGTTACTGCAAACTTCATCCAGCTGACTTCCATGGCTATTTTCCCCTTCGGGGCTGGCGGAAATTTAAACTACTCTTAGCGATCAAGATGGGCAAGCGGTTACACAAAGAAGGGGCAGTTCTGGTGAGATAAATGTGAATCTCACACTCATCTGTACAAACCAAGAACCAAAGGCTAACATCAGAGCACGAGGAAAGACTAAAGCGTGTCAAACGGATCCAGTTCAAAGAGCAGGAAACAGCGACACAGATTTCACAGCCTAGGAGGCTCAAGGACATACACAAGTAGCACAGCGCTTCAGACACACATCTGTCTGAAACTCCCTCAAGGCAGTAAGGTCAGAAGCAAAGGAGAGAGGGGATTTCTGACTAGGTCAGCATAAGCACGGTCAGAGAGCATTTGATGCCTTGAGAAGAGAGCCAAAGTAAACTACAAATTCATTTGAGTCACTTGTCACAAAAGAAGCCTAGCTGGACATCCAACGACTCATTGCTTGGCTTGAAATATGGTCTGGACTCCTTCTGTACCCGCAGGCATCGATGCAAGTTGATGGCACCGTGTAACACCACTAGCATGCGGACCAACCTCCAATATAAATCAAGCGTTACGTATTTGTTAAGCCATCTCTGTCAAAATACAGGTTGTTGCAGCCACTCATAAAATAGTTAGTATGACTAGTCTGAAGAAAATAAGCTCCAGGGACTGCTGAACCCTCAAAACTCAGCACTGCACAAGGCCTTATTTCCATCTCTCATGGACAGGATTCTGATTCTGTTACGCTGGCAATGACAGGGATAGGGAAACTTACTTGGTTTTTTTTGCAACTGGTTCAGTCACTAGCTCTAACTAATCTAACAAAAGATTCCGATCTCTCAGCTCTTTGGTAAAAAACACATTACAATACATCATAATGTTTCTTTTTCTAATCAATTCAGGGCAATTCTTCTTTCAACATAAGCAAGAACAGCCAAGAAATTGATCTCACCCAGAACCCCACAGGTGCTCAGAAAGACCAGGACCCTACCTTTCATAGGTGAACCCTGCGGAGTTGCTGGGACATGCACCCCCATACCAGGTCCACGACGATATGGGAAGTTCTCGGGGCTGTATTTTTCACAAAGAACTTGCATGAAACTCCTTCCGCTGGGCTGGTCCATGCTCCCTTCTCGGACTTCTAGTTAACACAGAAAAAAACCAGAGCATATGAACAATTGCCTCCAGTAGCAGTTCTTGGGAACACAGGACAAAAAGTGACCGGCCCGGTCATGGGTTGTACATCTGAACTGCCGATCAGTCTAACCAGTCATATTTCAAATTCAAGATTACAGTAAAACATTAACTGAAAAGAAACCTAAGCCAAACGGAGGGCCCAAGCTACACAAACATGCTCTCAATCATTACAGGCCAAGTCCAAAACCCCCTTGCTCTTCCAGGACACTTCCCAACACACCCCAAGCTGCAGAAGGTGACTGTGAGATATTTGTAGATTCAAATACATAGATTCAAACACATTTCCAGGGCATCAAGGAGGAGAAAGAACAAAGAGTTGTTTAAGAGTAAGAGATTAAGAGATTGCTCAAACAGATGTTTTAATTCTGGAACTTCCCTTTTCTCTAGAGCTCAGGATTTTCAGTCAATATTAGCTTTTTAGATGGGGGGGGCGGGGGGGAAGGGAAAAAGAAAAAGGACCTACATCTCCCTAGCTGCTTATAAAGAAACACTATACAACACGAGTTACAGTTTGGTTTTGTTTTTTTTTAAATCAGGCCAATGCTGTAAACAGCCCAGAGCTCATCATTCTCTGCTAGCAAAACTTCATACAGTCAGCCCACAGGGTGTCATAGAAATACTCGAGTTTGATAGTAAGCTCACTCAGGATATCTCAGGGCTCTCACCTTCACTCATTCAAAGCAAGCTTTGGCCTCAAGAGCAGCATCATTTCTCCTCTGACATCTGCAAAAAACTACAGTTCTTACGCCCAGCTTGCAAACCTGGGCTTCTAATTAGAACACAACCGCCGTGTCACAAAACACTCATAAACACGTCCTAGCACGTCATTTGGCCAGTCCAAAAAGCAAGTTTTGCCAATTGAATTTTGCAGCTGTTTAATATATCTGGAAGATAAACATGCCCTTCATATCTACGCACATCACAGAACAGAACAGCACAGGAAAAAGGACTCGCCACATCGTGGGCTGCTGACCTGCCTAGAAAGATATTGAGCGTCAGGTGGAAGTATACTTGGCACAAAGAAACCGCGATAGTCGGCATTCTGCTGTACCCTAGGTGGAACTAAGCTTATCTGTCCTGCTTTTCTGCACGTACTCTGAACTTGGTATTTCATGGTTTCCTGGATAATAAAGGCATCGAGCTTGATGCACGCACAAAGAACGGGAACTACACTGTCCCCACATTTCACAGAGGTCTTCTACTCCAAAGCAGGGCCTGCTACCTATCACGGACATAGAGGAGAGAGCCACATCTGCCTGTTCTAACAACACAAAGCACAAACTTGCAGCAATCAACTGTCGATTTCCTACAGCATACAATAAGTCACGGAGCAGCATTTTCACCAAGTACTGCACATTTACCTTTCTAGTATACTAGCAAATCTCATATACCAGCAAAATGTAGATATGTACATTCTGCATATAAACCTGCATCTCCAGGACTCCTGGTGGAAATTCATACTTTTGAGTTCATGGTGACGCCACACGTATATTGAAAGTGAGGTTGCTAACCAATGCCAAATTAAAGTTTCTGCCTGCTGCCACAAACTTTCCTTTAGATTTATTATAGGCAAGGATAGATATAAAATCCCGAACAAAAGTGATTTAACTAAGGTTCAGGTTGCCTTTTCTACGAATCACCTGTAACAAGCTCTACTTTACTTCTTTGCAAACAGACTACCTAAAACATCTCTATCATAAAGGAAGTTTTGGAACTCCACCCTGAATAAAGCTTTCTGTCCTTCACGTTGCTTTTCTATCAACTCCATTCCTCTTTATTCACTGAGCAAACATGAGCTGGAAATTCCACATGAGAAAATCATCTTAACGTCACACTAGAGACAAAATTTTCAGCTGCAGCATGACAGCAATCCAGAACCAAGACAAAACCCTAATGACGTTCACATTCATCAACTTTAAAGCCCAAACATTTTCTTTGTCAAGCTTTACTTTTGCAAGCCAATGCCATTACCAGATGACAAAAATGTCAGGGGGTGGGCAGTCACCTTTCCCACTTCCCTTCTCGTCACGTTTCACATTCACTATAATCACCTGTCACGCACGTGGCTTCTCTGAATCACTACAATTGCTTGAGAGCCAGGATTAACAGAATATGCAAAGAAAGCATGACACATTTCAAGTGAATGTTGTCTGTACAAGGGCAGGACAGGATGATTTGCAAGGTGCACGTTTCTGAGGGTTTTCCTACCGATGGCATGAGGAACAATTCATATCCTAAAATAACTTTGAGTTTTCTAAATGACAGCGTAGATTGCAAAAGAGGTACTCGGTCTTTGAAAGATATCATAGAATCACAGAAACATCGTAGACTGGTTTGGGTTGGAAGGGGACCTTAAAGCCCATCTAATTCCATCCCCCCTGCCATGGGCAGGGACACCCTCCACTAGCCCAGGTTGCCCAAAGCCCCATCCAACCAGTCCTTGAACACTTCCAGGGATGGGACATCTCCAACTTCTCTGGGCAACCTGTTCCAGTGCCTCACCGTCCTCACAGGGAAGAATTTATTTCAAACGTCAATGAGCAGTCTTTGCTGTCTATATTTAAACACCCTGCTGAAAGGCCGTGGCCCCAGTAACATACAACATGCCAAGTGTCTGCAGAGAAGAGCATAACCCTGACTTGAGATCCAAGGGAAACCCAGCGGGCTGCTGCAGCTCATGAGTGAAGTGAAAGGAGAACACTAGAAATGACACAAAAAATATTTCTATCTCAGTGCTATAAGCCTACAAGGAGAATAAGAGACCATTCCAGAGAATTAAATCATTAACGACATTCTAATGAATTCCAGTGCCACTCGAACGCCTTCTGAGCAGGTCCTAAACAGTCACACATCAAACGCATTTTGACGCGTTCGTATACATGAGAAACAAAGCGTAAAGAACGGATGCAACAGAACAAACATCTAAAAGAAGTCTGTACATCCTTCTAAGACGCGATTCAGGGAAATTATTTTTGAAGTGATCTTGAGAGACAGATGAACGAGTATTATCAGGGTAGACACACCGGCCCCCCGAGCCACCAGGGCAAGCTCCCCGAGTACGCGGAACGCTGTCAGGGACTTCACCAAAGCTAACGTAACCATGTGGTCACCCACCGCAGCACCACTCTCCCGGGAGCGGTCAATACTGATGGCAGGGAGACGGGACCCCGCAGGAGACGCGCCAGGCTGCCA